TTGTTGTTGGGTAAAATCCTTCATCTACGCATCATTGTGACCTAAAGTGTAAATATATCTCGAGTGTTGGCTCATTGATTCTTCCAAAACCAGCTGAATAAGCTCCTTTCACGGTTAACTTGTCATATTTACACAAAACAATTGCAGTTGAACGTAGAAGCGAGGCAATTTCGGGCACAAAACTACAAAATATTGTGATTTTAGCTCATGAAAAACACGATGTTTTGCAGCTTGTGCCCGAAATTATCTCGCTTCTTTCGTTCAACTGTATTGTCATGCAAATATGACAAAATTAAAGTTAAAGATGGGATATTATATTGCTTTGGTTTAGTTCCATGAAATATTATAATTATATTAATTTAGTGAATATACAATCCACGATTCCTTTCACTTGCACTTTCACTTCTCTGTTCTCAGGATATTAAAACAGTTTGATATTAGACTAAAGTGTATTTACTTTGTTACAGTTCGTCCTCGTGTTTCTCTTCATCCGGGACCTATTCACGCCATTGAAGGAAGTGACGTCACGCTTCCAACTTGTCACGTGACTGGCCATCCACAACCTGTAGTCACGTGGAGCAAGTCATTTGGTCAGTTGCCTCATGGGAGGGTGCAGTTCAACAGCAGTGTCATCAAACTTCTTGACGTCCGTAAGGTTGATTCTGACTACTACCTCTGCACTGCTAGTAACCTTTTAGGAAGTGTTGAAAAGAGAACTTTGTTAGTCGTGGTCTCCCTGCCGCAGTTTACTGTTAAACCACCTGTGAAAGTTGTTGCTTTTCCTGGCGACACTTTGACGTTAAACTGCAGTGCTACTGGTGATCCACAACCAGTCATCAGCTGGAAAACGACAAGGAGCACAACTGCCAGCCGGGCGGAGCCAGCAGATCAATGGCGCGTTAGTTATTAGCGACACAAGACAAGACGATACAGGAAATTATATTTGTGTTGCTACAAGTGCAGGAGTGTTTAATGTTGAGTCTGGAACTTACATTGAGGTTCGCCGCGAGCCCGCTAAAGGTGAGTCGAGGCTGGAATTACTGTTTACTTCTTACATTAAATTTAATTTATAGAAAATCAAAATGAAACTTTTCAAGTCTGTATCTCAGTTGCATCACAAGTCTTTTGACCTGATACAGTCAAACCTCTATTAAGCGGCCCTCTGTTAAGCGGCCACTTATCAAATTTCCGAAAATCGCTCCCCATACTTACTGTAAACTTGACCTCTATTAAGCGGTCACCTCTATTAAGCGGACGCGGTCACCGTTTTAGACTTCCCAATTGGCTAATTTTATTGTATTTCACCTCTACAAGCGGTCACCTAGTTAGATTACAATGCGATATTTGGCACGACGATACGCGGAGCACGTCCAGTGTCAAACACAACATATTATGTGTAATCAGCGTAGAATGCCATTGTTTGGGCTAATAGGCTTGTGTGGGTAAATTGAAATTGAAAAATTTAAGAACACCTCTATTAAGCCGTCAGTTGGCTATTTCCTGAGGGTGACCGCTTAATAGAGGCTTTGACTGTAGTTCATTCACAAAACACTCGTAAACATAAGCGCTAGACCTCAAGATTGTTTTTTTTTTTTTTTTTTTCATTTTTTGCCGTTTTGAAAACTTGGCAAATGACTGTCAAACTTTTAATTGTAAAAACATTTGAATTTTCCGCTGTATCACATCAAAAATGTCAACCTTTCATTTTGAGATTAAAAAAATGTGATCCGTGTGAGAAAAAAAAAATAAAACAGAAAAAAATAAAACAAAGCCATGGCCGGGGCGAAACGTGTGTGCGATTTATTGGAGAGAAATTAAAAAATAATAATAATAAATTGTCGCGATTGAGCGAAATCAAAATGTGACTTCCCTCAAACATCTGATCTTTGACGCAAAGATTTAGACAAACAGTGACGACAGTTTGTGTTTATCAGTAATTATGTTATGAGTGCGAGGAGAGGAGGTTTAATGGTACATTACTGTAGATTCGGTATATGGCCAGGGATTGGCACAACCTGGAAAAATACAGGAAAGTAACATAGGTTGCTGGAAGCTTAGCCTGCGTTGCAGCCGACATGTCAAATCCTCGGTTCTGATATCCGCCGGGTTTGCATGAATGAAATAAAAGGTGTTGACAGGCTAGAAGAAACTAGATAAACTGAATTTTTTTCGACAGATTGTTCAGATCGACTGAAATCAGGCCAAACCCAGAGTGGATTGTACTCTGTCAACCCAGATGGTAAAGGACACTTCACTGTCTACTGTGACATGCGCACTGACGGCGGAGGCTGGACCGTGTTTCAGAGAAGACAGGATGGCTCGGTAGACTTCTATCGAGGATGGAGCGACTACAAAGCAGGCTTTGGTCAGCTGACTGCTGAGTTCTGGTTAGGAAACGACAAGATCCACAGACTGACAGCCTCTCTAGACCCAGCTCTCTACGAGTGGAGCTGGAGGACTGGAATGGAGTTAAAAGTGTATGCCAAATATGGCAAGTTTAACATTGGTGATGAGCAGGCGAAGTATCGACTTGAAGTGGGTTCATATTCAGGGGCAGTGGGAGATTCGTTAGCACAGCAATAATAACATGGCGTTTAGTACAAAAGACAGAGATAATGACGTATGGAGAAGCAACTGTGCTGTATCATACACAGGCGCCTGGGGTACAATGATTGCCATTACTCCAATCTAAACGGAAAGTACCTGGGAGAAAAACATGATGGCCGAGGTGTCCGGTGGGACGCCTTCAGAGATACTCTTTCACTCAAATTCACTGAGATGAAACTGAGGCCGTCATCGTAGAAAGAATCAGTACCAGTTTACAGGTTTAATCCTGTTATTGACGTGACCAACATGTCACTGATCTTTGTTCATGATAGTTTGCAATAACTGTAAAAAAGACACTGATTATTTGTTTGATCAATTTGTGTGAAACGGAATGCTTGCAATCGCATGTTTTGAAAGAACAACTGACCTTTATAATCATTTATTTTATAAATTTAAACTCGAACCATAATTTTCCCGATCTTTCACTTTTCTAGCGTCATCGTTACTAAGTATTAGCATGTGGACTTGTGTTATTAGTCCTTATTGATGACTTTAGCTGTACGTACGTTAGTCAGTTTAGCTTGAAGGACCTAGAATTAATTTGAGAAGTACTGGGTAAAACTGTATTATTAGCCATGCACGTTAGCCACAGATCAATGTAATGAGAGAATAAAATGTGATCAGTGGCTTTTGGATTTCTTTGTTCTTCACCAATGTAATCATTGAATATTTCTGTGGAATAAGAGCTACTATCCTGGTCAAACGTTTTAGGACACTTCACAGTGCTGCCGTCAAATGGTCTTTGTCCTCACCCCCCCCCCCCCCCCCCCCCCACTCCCCATCCCCGACCTATCCAAGGATAATGGTTTACTCGGACAATGGCATAATGAATTAAAAATTCAAATAAATTTGTCTCTGGGTTGTTATTTTGTTAATGTCCCTAGGACTTTCGGCCAGGATTGTACGAGGTTTACTATTTTTGCCACTCTTTATTAAGTTCCAATCCCATTATGGCAAAAACTTTTCGAGTGGAGCAAAGTTTGTAGACAGAACACGGTAAGATTGGAGGCCTTGTTCAAGATTTGATTGGGTTTCATGAGAAGTTAAAACGTTTGAGTATGTCAGATATGGGCGTGATCAGTCTGATTCTATTTTTAGCGCCGACTCAGCCGTACTTATATCCTGGAGTATTAAACTGAAAAAATGCCGGCAATGGAGATATTTTTTTTATAGTCAACACGGGAATTTTTCCCGACCGAATTAAATGTGGAAAACTATTTTGCATTCGGCAAGTGGCCTGACAAATTGATCTAGTGGTCCTAGTGGTTAGATTATGTTTCCCGATTTGTGATGGAGCGGTTTTCATTTGAGTGTCGTAAAACATCTGATTGGTTGAGCAGGTGGCGCGAGTTTTTTAAACCAATCACAGAACGTAGTAAAGCAAATCCAATTTCGGATTACTTTCGATCCCGAGGGGGGGGGGGGGGGGGGGGGAAACTCAAAAAGATTTTATACGGGGAGGCTCCGCCCAGAGGTCCAACCCCTTACCCTTTTATATACCATTTTTGACAGAAATGGTACCCCTTTTCATATACCTTCCATGGAAAATGGTACCCCTTTCATATACCTTCCATAGAAATTATGAAAATGGTACCCCTTCCACATACCTACAGTAGAAACACTGCATCCCTTTTCTATACCTTGGGAATGAACTTAATGAACAAATATATATCCCCAGAAGGAAGTGGAAGGAAGCTGCCTTACCATGGGCTCAAAACTTCAAACCTGCCAGTCCACCTCATACCTCAATGACAGTTTTCCCTACCCTTTTCTAAACTCCAACTCGTGAAATTCCTACCCTTTTTCTATACTCCAACTCGTGCTACCCTTTTATATACCTCAGTCTGAAAAGGTACCCCTTTGGGCGGAGCCTCCCCGTACAGTCCATTATAGGGAGTACCCCCCCCCCCCACGGGGAAAATTCCCTCTGTTTCAAACCGACCATGTGACCACGTGGTTACCCCAAAGAAGTCCATTTACTGTTGCATGGAAACAACACACCCCCCCCCCCCCCCCCTCGGGTCTACGCATATTAGCATTATGTTTTAAAGTCCAAGTGATTCATTCACCTCCAGGAAAATAATGAAAAATAATCATAAAACCGAATTAATTCTGCTATAGCGAAAGCAAGACTCATGTTGATCTAATGGACTTTAGGTATGCGCACCCTGCTGTACTCCGGAAAGCCGACAACTTGAGCTTATCGTATATCAACCTCGTCCCCAGTAATATGGTCGATATGACATCCGACCAACGCCGAGGAATACGTGAAGGGACTCTTAATCACGTATCATTAATCGATCTCTTGTCGAAAAAAGTTTACAAAACGTAGATGTATAACATTAGTTGTCTATTGCGAATGCACTAAAGAAATAAATAAAATATTAAACTTCAGGCTTCAAGGGATTAAACCATTGTGATGGCTGACAGTGCAAACGCTCTACCACTGAGCTATGAAACCACTGGAACTGGTCAAATGCGAAAATTCCAAACATTTCTTTCACCCGCGTATATAATTTATTATAATATACTCACCACAGGATATCGTAATTTTGGACAATCTGATTGGTTCCCTACTCAAGGCATATGAGACAATGTACCATTAACCTTATTTGGGAATCCCGCTAATTTACGATAAATATCCCATTTTCCCTCTGTTTTTTCCTTCCGTTCTTTCTCCAGTAATTTGTAATTGCAATATCCTGTGGTGAGTATATTATAAAACAATTATTTCCACTCAATCTGATCTCGTCATCCACGAACTCATAGCCAACTCGGCTACGCCTCGTTGGCTATGAGTTAATGTACGACTCGATTTCGTGGAATAATTGTTAATTTTAGAGAAAATATTAGCCTTGAAAAACTGGGTTATGTTCCCATTAAATATCGCTATTATTGAAATTTTATTGCTGCACACAACTCGTCAACAATCAATCAAAACCGGCGATGCCATATTAAATTGAAACAGTAGGCTTGCGACAATAATCATAACTATAACAAAATACTCAAAAATGATTGGTTCTTCAGTAGCACGCTCTATTTTTCACCAATTTGAGCGTAGAAATCTGTGACCACACAAACAGAGGATGGTAAGCCTGTGGTCATAAGACTCCTTCCTTGTCATTATATAATACATGGTAAGGTAACTTGAACTAAAATCGCTCAAAATTGCGTTTAAACACATTGTAAGGATAGCAAACAACACCATGTAATGTTTTCTGAACTTTATTCAGTAATTTCAATTTTATTTATTGCTCAAAATGTTCCGTTTGCAAATACATTGATATGCAAATATTATGCTTGGGTTTCCAATGATAATAGCAGCGCGATGGTATTGGCATGCACAGGAACGCTAGTTACCAAGCTTTCGCATAAAAATACAAGTAATATCGATCATTTTGGCCTCTAGTGTGTGGAAAAGCTCTATCGAGTACTAATAGTTGTCGACTCATTTTAGTTATCGAATAAAAATAGTTGTCGACAACTATCTCTCTAGTCTGTGAAGGCCCTAAATGTATTGTATATTGTTGTATTGTGTCCAATAACAAATTGTCAAATAACATGGTGTCAAATAACAAAATTCGCGTGCTGTGCACTTGACTGGGTTCCTTCTTATGAATGAAAATTCTTCTTTATATTCCCAAAACACTTTCAAAATTAACTTTTTCCCTCGAATTTTGTCCCTCTCTCAAATAAGGCCCTCTTTTTTGAAGCCAGAAATTAAATTAGCCCCTGCATGGGCTAATATAGCTTTAACGGTATTTCTTTAATTCTAGTGAATCGTGAATTAGCCGTATACTCACAGCCAATGAAATGTCATTTTCGAACAAAACAGACTTGTTAATATAAATTAATTAACAGACATTTGTTCAGTAACCTATTTTAAAATAACAAAATGCGCGTGCCGTGCACTTGACTGGGTTCCTTCTTATGAATGAAAATATAAATTACTTCGCAAACATTTGTTCAGCAACCTATTAAAAATTTATGTTAGGGTGTTGGTAATATATCTGTGAAGTTAGGCAAAGTCACGGCATTGAATCCACCTGGTTAACCATGAACAGATTCGTGCTTTTGTCCGCAAGTACTTTTATCTACTTTATTTATCATATTCTAGATCAAGGCTTCTGTGAGGCAGCTCAGGCCGGTCTTCAACGCGACCCAAACAAAAATTTAAGATTTGCGCAATTCAATGAGCATCTTTATCATGTTCTTGACGTTCCAGAAATCGAAACAGTCATTGTTCAAACTGGAAGACATTGTCTGCTGAGATGCGTGAAGAACGATCAGTGTTTTTCCACAAACATTGCTGCGTTTCATCGTCCAGACGGGAATATATCATGTGAGATACTTCCCACAGACAAGTATCATCAATCCGAAAAGTTCAAAGCGAATCAATCACACCTACCATCACTACAGCATTATGGTGAGTACATCATTAGTTTATATATTGCTTCCTGTCACAGTGCATGCTTCGCTAGCTCTCAAGTGATGGTGCAACTGCAATTGTCCTGGAATTTCTGTGTTACTGGCAACTGCGGCAAAGTTTTACTGATCGATAGCAACCCCCAATAATCAGTAACGAAGACTGCACTAGTTACAGCTCAAAACATCATGCGCTTTTAAACCTGAATTACCCGAGGACAGCTTTTACTTATCTCATGAGGAGGAGTGTGAAACTTGCTTCCATTTCTTTGTCGATAAGTACTGTACGTATATATTCTATTAATCCTGTCCAAATTTTATAACTTGAAGAATTAGTTTTTGGCAGCTTTTTTAACAAGCGACGGCTTGTTTAATTGAAAACCGTCCGCTTTGTGTTCAGATCAGTATGCCGTGAAGTTCAAATTACTGATCCCCTCCAAGTGCGACCACGACGAATTTTACAAAACGAGCTTGGATACGTTCTCTCTCTATCCCTCTCTCTCTCTCTCTCTCTGATTGTAGTTTAGATCATTTTCGATTTCAGAGGGTTTAACGAATAACTTCCGAGCTCCAATATGTATTAGCCAAAAACTAATATATAATAGTTGTTCAAATAAAACATAAATTTAGGATAAAAACAGATGTCGACCAACAAAAACAAATAAAACAACAACTTTATTCAATTTTTATATATATAATTTACAAGATCGTGCTTGCTCCCGCTACGAGTTACAAAACTAATCGAGGCGGGAGCAAGAGCATCTGACGCGAAGCTTCTGACACCTGCCTCAAGTTCGTTTTAAGACATCAGTTATAATAACAACTTTATTTTTGGAGGATAAAAACACTTCACAGTCAGAGACTGAAAAACTAGTGGGCCCTCAATGCTAATTACAATCAAATCTTGACATCGTTATTTAAATAACAATACGTAAACTTAATCGAAGTATTTTGTGTGGACAGAAATGATGGTAAATTTTAAGCTTGGCAGAAATATGAGAAAGATATTATTATGTCAGTGACACAAGCTACTCGGAAAAAAATTCCGAGTTCCCCCAACAGGAGTCGAACCTATGACCTTCCGCAAACCGGTCGGACGCTCTACCACTGAGCTACAGGAGATTCGTGGGAGCTAAGGCCATATAACTAGGTTCAAGTGTGACAAACATCCCGCATACTGCTAGCCGATTAGATTTCCGAGAGTGAAAGCCGAAAAGCTAAAAAGCTATTTTCATACATTTTAGTTTAAAACGTGTAATCGAACGCCTCGAGGTTTCCGAAGCATGCCGAGCGAAAGTTGAATATAGGACATTCAAAGATTTCCGAAGATGACCCGAAGTTTCTCAGAAAGGAACGAAAAATTAATATTCTAATGATCAAGGGGCGTTACTAGGCATTTTCTGGTTGTAAGCCTGGGTGGGGCATAATTGAGAGGGGACAATATGGGTGCGACAGCACCCACAAGGAGCGGCGAAGGCGCGACATGCTAGGGGGATACGGGGGCATGTCCCCCCGGAAAATTTGCAAATTTAAGTACTCTGAGATGCAATCTGGACGCTTAAATTTGGCAAATGGCAGGATTCCATATTGAACAAGAAATAATGAAATATTTAACAAAATGCAGTTGTTGTGTTGTTGTGAAAGAGAAAAAATAACAAAGAAGAAAAAGAAGTAATAACAGTTTAATGACCTGACTAGTGACACATTGGTTGCAAACATATCTGAAATCTTGGTGGAATTCAAAGAAATTCTCAAAGAAATTCCATAGCTAGTCGTCTGTACTCAGGTTGGCGCAAAATTCGCGAATCACGGCTTCTACATCAATGGGCATGTCTCTGTACACACGCATCAGGGCAAGTGCTGAGAGTCGCTCTGTTTTCATCGTTGAACGTACTTGTTCGTCTTCTCTCAACTTTAAAAAAAAAATTATTATATCGTCCGAACGACTTGTAAGCCCGTGCTTATTTGCTTAAAGGCAGGTACGCGCCTGTAATAAATATTCATTTCCAGCGAAAAGAAACTGACGTTTTCTGAAAATATTAGAAACATTTCTAGAGACTATTTACGAAGAAAAACATTTGTTTCTGTACTTTTTATTGGGCATTTCATGATTCAGTCTAAAGAAATATTACGTCATTATTCTCACTTATTTTCTTGATTTTCAAAACGGTACCGCGAAAATTGTAAACGCGAAATTTTAATACCCTGTTACACAAAGGACATTGACAGTGATATTCGCAAATAAGTTCTTTGTAAGTACCTTTTTGGAACAGTTTTCCTAACTGACAAGCAAGCAGTCATGTGTAAAACATAGACTTTAAAAAAGTGACAGAACTGAGCATTGTTCGTGTGAAATAACGATAAACAACGCTGCTAAAACGTACTGTTACTTGTTTGTTCTATAAGTATATAGTTCTATAAGTACTGAAGTACTGAAGTTCTCAATTGACGGATTGTAAAATGGCGATTAAACTTTAGTGACATTTTCGCGAAATTTCGTGAAATCACGAAAAGTAATTCTCGCGAAATATGGCTCTGATATTTGCGAAATAATGGCGCGCGAAAATTAGTGAGAATAAGATAGTCGCATCATATTAAACTGGTGTTATTTCAGATGTTGTATAGTTAAAATACTGGCAGGTGAATTATACCAGCAACTCTTTTCTCTAAATTGGAAGGAACACATTTTCACGTTTTAATTTATAACAAACGGATTATCCAAATTGAAAATGGTGTAAATTTACCAGAGTTAATTTTTAATTTCCAGAGTCCTTGTGAAAGTTTTCCTTGCCAGCACGGTGGAACCTGCAAAGCACTTTACGAGACAGACGACTACAGCTGTACTTGCGCACAAAACTACATTGGAAGAAACAGTGAGATGCGCGGTAAGTAACGTCAGTCTTTCGAGAATGTTTTCCGTTATTCGTCGACATTTTATCAGACTAATAAAACCAATTCATTTCACGTGGCTCTGATTGGATAAAATTGATCACGGGACACGATAAAATGCATGCATGTTAACAATCCGATTTGAGC